AAAAATCCAAAAGGGTCTCCAACAAATTATAATAATTACTAAATAATTTTCACAGTCACAAAATCAACATTTAAAGATTAATTTTATTTCTATATACTAGCAATGAACAATTAGAAACTAAAGTTTTTAAAACAATATTATTTTCAGTAGCATCAAAACCTTTAAATATTAGGGATTAATTGAGCAAAGTCTGTGCAAGAACTCTAAACTGAAAGCTACAAACCTCACTGAGGAAAGTTAAAGAAAATCTAAATACATCAGGATATATACCAAGTTTATGGATTGGAAGATTCAATATTGTTAAGGTGTCACTTCTCCTCAACTATATACATAAATTCAATGAAATCCCAATCAAAATCTTGCAATTTTTTTAATGGAAATTGACAAACTGATTCTAAAACTTAAACAGAAATGCAAAAGACTGAGAATAGCTTAGACAATTCTACAGAAGGAAAAACAAAGTTGGAGGACTGACAATCTACCAGATATCAAGGTTGACCATAAGCTACAGTAATTGAGAGTTGGTAATGTTTGACAGATGAATATATAGGAGGAAATGGAAAAGAAAAAGAAGTCATGAGTGCAAAGCAGGTTTAAAAACCAGAATCCAGGCAGTGGCTACCAGATTGAAGGTCTTGAATAATCCCCTATGCCTCTTAGCTCTGTCCTCCAGGCTGTGGGCTTCACACTCAGTCCTCAACCCCATCCTGTGGGTTCCAAGTTCTGCTCTCCAAGCTCTTGGTTGTACCCTCTGATTCATCTTTCCCTTATGCATGAAATGTAGCTTGTGTTGGCAGATAAGTAGGTTTACAGGGGTTGGCAGTCACCTTTTATTTAATACAATTTCTGTTCCTTTTCGTCTAGTTTGTAGTGTTTCTGCCAACATCATTTTCTCTAGAATCTTGTGGATTTTCATGAATTTCATGAGGGTTCACTCCATTAGACTAAAGTCTCACCAACAGATCTTTCTGAGCTAATCCCATCTCTATTTTTAGCTTCTGCTGAGATGGCCAAGGGATCACACCATTCAACACTCTTAAACTTGAAATCTGTGAGCTGCACCCTTAATCTCTTGCAACTGAATGATCTTTGATCTTTCAAAGATTTCCACAAAAAGTTGTACAGTGACACTCTCAGCCTTTTCTCTATGCCATGCTTTTGGCAGTCATTTGTGAATTTTAGCCTCTTTCACCACCTGGATAGATTGAGAATATCCCAAAGCATCAAGTTCTGGTTCTCTTTTGTGTAATTCTTTTCTCAAATTATATCTCACTTCTCTTATTTTACTATAAGCTACAAGAAAAATCTAGGCCACACCTTCAGTACTTGGAAATCTTTGTTCAATATCCAAGCTCGTTGTTTACAAGTTCTGCTTTCCACATAGCTGCAAGAATCAATTCTGCTAAACTCTCTGCCTCTGCTTAACAAGAATCCCCTTTCCTCCGGTTTCTAATAATACGTCCCTCACTTCTTTCTGAGATTAAATCATTGTGAGCTCGCAGTACTATGGGTCAGAAGTCTTCACAGTCATAGCTGAGGTCACCGATGAGGGTCTCACAGGGCCTAAATCAAGGGGTTGGCTAGGCTGAGCTCTTATCTAGAGGCTCTGGGGAAGAATAGACTTCCCAAGCTCATTCATGTTAATGGCTAAATTCAGTTGCTTGCTGTGTATAAGCTCTCAGTTCTTAAAGGCCACCTCCATCTTCAAAAGCAGCAAAGATACTTTGAATTCCCCTCTCACTTCAAATCTCTGGCTTCTCTCTGACATCAAACAGAGACGATGCTCTACAGACTCTCCTAAATAATCTCCTTATCTTAAGGTCAACTGACATCTGCAAGCTCTCTTCACTACAATGCCTAGATTAGTGCTTGATAAGATAATCAGGGAATGAGAATCTTGGAGGACCATCTTTAGAACTCTGTCCACTGCATTTGGGGAGGGGGTTCTGACTAGAAAGAGCATGAAGCAACTTGCTACATCTTGATGTGGGTGGTGGTTACATAGGAAAATTGAATTTGTAAAATTTCAAGCTATACACTTATAATTTGCATACTATTCTACATTTTTTTATTGCAATAAAAAGTTAACAAAGAACATTCCTGTAGGAAAGCTCTGTTTTCTCATTAATATTTTTGAATATATTTCATTTGGAAAGTTTAGATATTCAGTGATTAATATCTGCCCTATAGTTTGTAGATTACACTTATTTTATGGTCATCATTATATAATGTATAGAAGGTAAGATGGCTTTTTCTTTCACCAAGTTCAAGCTTTAAAATTTGGGGAATGAATATTTAAATTATATCTCCAGATTTTAATTTCTTCACACATTCTGAACTTTGATGTAGGTGACATAGGAGAAAATTTACTATGCCATTGGTCTTGGCCAAAGGACAAGGCAGTCATGACCCAGGTTTGTGTTGGATCATTTTTTGTTTTTGTTTTTGTTTTTTTGAGACGGAGTCTCACTCTGTTGCCCAGGCTGGAGTTCAGTGGCACAATCTCAGCTCACTGCAAGCTCCACCTCCCAGGTTCACGCCATTCTCCTGCCTCAGCCTCCCGAGTAGCTGGGACTACAGGTGCCTGCCACCACAACTGGCTAATTTTTGTATTTTTAGTGGAGATGGGCTTTCACCACTTTGGCCAGGCTGGTCTCAAACTCCTGACCTCATGATCTGCCCGCCTCAGCCTCCCAAAGTGCTGAGATTACAGGCATGAGCCACCGCACCCGGCCTGTGTTGGATCATTTTGCTTCAACATGAATGAGAGTTCTTTGGCAAGGATCTCTAGAAGAGTGGCTGGTGGCAAACTAATTAAACCCAGAGCGACATTTTGAAACAAGTCCCTCCTAAGATTTACTTACCAAAAATACCTAAAAATGGAGTTTCACTGTATTCTGCTTTCTTCCATTTTTAAAGGGATCCTAAGCCCCAGATGCAACATTGCGGGTTCAGCAGATTCCAGCAATGGGACATTATTGTTATTAAAGGTCCAAACATCTCCACAAAACAAACTCTGTCACTTATGACTGACAAACTCAGAAAAAATTGTTAGATTTGGTGATAATAATTAAGCTAAACTAAATGTTTTTTGGATGCTTATTTAACAAAATCTCAAAAAGATTTTGAAAAAGATTTGGTCCCTGATCAAACCTACTTAGTTTAATGACAGCTACTCTCCCCTTTAAAGAATTAAACTTCAGGCCGGGCGCGGTGGCTCAAGCCTGTAATCCCAGCACTTTGGGAGGCCGAGACGGGCGGATCACGAGGTCAGGAGATCGAGACCATCCTGGCTAACACAATGAAACCCCGTCTCCACTAAAAATACAAAAAAATTAGCCGGGCGTGGTGGCGGCGCCTGTAGTCCCAGCTACTCGGGAGGCTGAGGCAGGAGAATGGCGGGAACCCGGGAGGCGGAGCTTGCAGTGAGCCGAGATCGCGCCACTGCACTCCAGCCTGGGCGACAGAGCGAGACTCCGCCTCAAAAAAAAAAAAAAAAAAAAAAAAAGAATTAAACTTCAGATTTCCAACAGTTCACAAAAGCAGCTTTGAAAACTTTCCTCGTTAAACATGGGAACATACTGCTCTTAAGCCCTGAAATGAGAAAACTTCCTTCCAATGTAATTGCTCCAAGTGAAATACCACATAATATTAACCTCCTTGGATAGCACCGAGAACCTTTCAAGTGGCTCGTTACTGCTGAAGATAGTCAATGTACTTCCTAATGTTTTCAAAACTTACAGGAAACAAGAAATAAAAGTGGAGAATCAGGCCTTCTAAAAAAATCATAATAAACTGTTTTGGTTGACCTCAGCAGAATAATAGTTAATATTCATCTAGTGATCACTAGATGCCAGACACCGTTCTTAGTGCTTCACACATACTAATCTGTTTAATCCTCACTAACAATATTATCTCCCATTATACCATGAAGAAAGCTGAGACACAGAGTAAGTCATGTGCCTGGTGTCACATAGCTAGAAATGCCAAAGTCGGGATCCAAACCTCCGTATCCTAAAATGCTACATCAATCTTCCTTTTAAAATAGTTCTGGCTTCCTGAGAATGACTCATGTGGGTTTTTACAACAATTTTTACTCTGATGTAGCGCATCTTTTATGTGGGAAGTGGGCAGGCCAGTTCAGAGGAGCTAACTGGGGCTCTCCCTCCAGGAAAGAAAAGATGGTTCAGAGAAGTTACTTCTAAGTGGGTCTTGGAACTGTGTCAGCCACAGTCTTTCACGCTGTGTGCAGTGCGTGCTAGGGGTCCTGAGTCCATTTTTATTACGTGCACTAGAGTGACTTTGACCTCTGACTGCCTGGTTAAAGGTATAAATGTGTTGAAGGCATCTCATGATAAAGGGATGTTAAAACTTAAAGAAGGGCCCCAAGCACATAGTCTTACGAAAAGAAATTGTGCACTGCCTGTTGCCTTTGGCTGTGAAATGAACCCTTAGTTAAAGGACCTGTGGCATTCACATGGTTATAAAATAGATATATTTTATTATCTTCCTTATGCAGGTATAGCACTGGGCACTTTATATGCATTATCTTCTTTACTTCTTATGATAACCCTATAAGATTACTATGATTGCCTCCACTTTCCAGATGACAACCACAGTGCTAATCAATAACAGAGAGAGGAATTTAAGTTAAATCTGTTTTTCTCTGAAGCTTGTGTTCTTTAATGTTCATCTAATTTTCCAAAAAAAAAAAACAGGCTAAGTTTTTTTATTATTAATTTAGGAATTTCCCAAGTATTGTTGTGTTGGTTTCTGCGTTGGACAGAGATCCCAGGCAGCACTGCCAGAGACAGGACTAGACTCTCTGAAGCAGGTTGTCAGGAGCCAGAAAACATGTAAGGATTGATGTCAAGACAAGGTAGGAGTGAGAAGGGGATTGAAGGGAGAGGGGACTCCAGGCAGACAGTATTAAAGAAACATAGTCCTGGAAACTGAGGCCATCTGGACTTCGATGCCAGTAGCTTTCTTCTTATGCTCACCTTGGATTCAGTCTTCAAGTTACAGTTAATGTTCTCTTTTGCCACAGCTGGATGCTGTTCCTAACGAGATGCATTAAGAACATGGTTAGTTCAATAATCAGAGAATTCCAGTACCCACAATAGCATGCTTGGCTGACAGTTATAAGAAGGTTAGTGTTTTTGAGAGGTTGATTGGCATAGCCCCTTGTCTTTTCTTCTTTTTTTTGTTTTTTATAGACAGAGTCTCTGACTGTCGCCCAGGCTGGAGTGCAGTGGTGTAATCTTGGCTCAGTGCAACCTCCACCTCCTGGGTTCAAGCAATTCTCCCGCCTCAGCCTCTCAAGTAGCTGGGATTACAGAAGCATGCCACCATGCCCTGCTAATTTATTTTGTATTTTTAGTAGAGACGGGGTTTCATCATGTTGGCCACGCTGGTCTCAAATTCCTGCCCTCAGATGATCCGCCTGCCTTGGCCTCCCAAAGCGCTAGAATTACAGGCATGAGCCACCACACCACTTTCATTTTTACCAAAATTTGTGAACAAGAACAGAAAACTCTTATTGCCCATTTGAAAACTTTTATGAACAGCTATTTTAATTCAAGATGGCAAACCAAAGCACACATTTTGTCATTTAAATTATAACTTTATGACTTTTCATGCTAGATACTCTCTTACTTATTCATAAATAGTTGATGCTAAAGTGACTAATAAATAGTTATTCATAACTATTTATAAGAAATGCTAGAGTGGGTAGTTTAAAGAGCAAGAAAACAAATACATATAAATATCAGCATCAACAAACTCAAAAAAGAGAGAGATTTCATTTAGTCAAATATTCTAATTGTGTTTGAAATCTCAAAATATATTTTCAAGAACATTTTATCTATTCAACCTTATTGTTAGGAGAAAACAGAAACATAGCTGGATTAGAAATCCCAGAATTATCTTCGAGTCATAGTAAACAGAACAAAAGATAGAACCATGTGCCCCTAGGGATCTATAGACCTTTATAAATTTTTTGTTGTTCTTTTGATTTTTTTTTTGTTTTCTTTTCTTTTTTCTCGTTTATTTATTTATTTATGTATTTTTGAAACTGGGTCTTGCTCTGTCACACAGGCTGAAATTGTGTCACTGCACTTCAGCCTGGGTGACAGAGCAAGACCCTCAGTGGCACAATCACGGCTCACTGCAGCCTCAACCTCCCCAGCTCAAGCAATCCTTCCACTTCAGCTTCCCAGTTAGCTGGGACTACAGGTGCATGCTATCATGCCCTGCTAATTTGTGTATTTTTTGTAGAAATGGGATTTTATCAAGTTGCCCAGGCTGGTCTCAAACTTCTGAGCTCAAGCTATACGCCTTACTCGGCCTCCCAAAGTGCTGGGATTACAGGAATGAGCCACTGCACCCAACCTCTTTGTTAATCCCTAAACATAGACTCTAAAGTGAGTAAAGAATTATGCAATAAAAAGCATTTTTGAAGACTCATTTCAGAAATGCTTTCTAAGTGTTTCCTACTATAAGGCTGAGATAAATTTCCACAAAAATCTTATATTTAGATTTGTCTTACATTATTTTTATAAGTTATTTACTATAGGTGATTAATGCTTGATTTTTTTATGATACTTTAAGTTCTGGGATACATGTGCAGAACGTGCAGGTTTATTACAGAAGTATATACATGCCATGGTGGTTTGCTGCACCCATCAATCCATCATCTACATTAGGTATTTCTACTAATGCTATCCCTTCCCTAGTCCTCCACCCCCTGACAGGCCCTGGTATGTGATGTTGCCCTCCCTGTGTCCATGTGTTCTCATTGTTCAGCTCCCACTTATGAATGAGAACATGCAGTGGTTGGCTTTCTGCTCCTGTGTTAGTTTGCTGAGAATGATGGTTTCTAGCTTTATCCATGTCCTTGCAAAGGACATGAACTCATTCTTTTTTGTGGCCGCATAGTCTTCCATGGTGTATATGTGCCATATTTTCTTTATCCAGTCTATCATTGATGGGCATTTGGGTTGGTTCCAAGTCTTTGCTATTGTGAATAGTGCTGCTATAAACATATGTGTGCATGTGTATTTACAGTAGAATGATTTATAATGCTTTGGGTGTATACCTGGTAATGGGATTGCTGGGACAACTGGTATTTCTGGTTCTAGATCCTTGAGGAATCGCCACACTGTCTTCTACAATGGTTGAACTAATTTACACTCCCACCAACAGTGTAAAACCATTCCTATTTCTCCACATCTCTCCAACATCTGTTGTTTCCTCACTTTTTAATGATTGCCATTCTAACTGGCATGAGATGGTATCTCATTGTGGTTTTGATTTGCATTTCTCTAATGACCAGTGATGATGAGGGGTTTTTTTCATATTTTTCATATATTTTTTGGCCACATAAATGTCTTCTTTTGAGAAGTGGCTGTTCATATCCTTCTCCCACTTTTTGATGGAGTTTTTTTTCTTGTAAATTTAAGTTCTTTATAGATTCTGGATATTAGTCCTTTATCAGATGGATAGATTGCAAAAATGTTCTCCCATTCTGTAGGTTGCCTGTTCACGCTGATTATAGTTTCTTTGATTGTGCAGAAGCTCTTTAGTTTAATTAGATCCGATTTGTCAATTTTGGCTTTTGTTACCATTGCTTTTCGTGTTTTAGTCATGAAGTCTTTGCCCATGCCTATTTAAATTAACTTATCAAGCTAAAAATATCTCTTTCTAAAAATTATTTCGAATGCTATCTCTTAAAAAAAGCATTTATACAGAAATCGTACTTATTTTCAGTTTTACTTCCTTTTCAGTTGTATGTACCACTATCCTAGAAAATATAAAATAAGAGATAGAAGAGGAAAATCATCTTTTTATCATTTTACATATATAGCCACCTATACAAGTAGACTTACACCATCTTTTCAAGAGATATAAGAAAGGAAAGAAACTTGGCTGAACTGTTAAAGCTTATGTAATTAGCATGGGAATTTTTGCTGGAGAAAGAGTTTGAAATATTGTTCTTATATAACCTGATAATATTTTGGACAAGAGTTTAATTTATGAAATTATGGTGTAGAATCTCAAAACACAGCAATTCACATGTAAATATATAATGTCAATTTGTTTTACTTTAGAAGCTCTCATGAACAATTATATTCTGAGAATTTTTATTATAAGATATATGCTTGAAAAAAACTGTGTGGGTGGCTCAGTGTTGCGTGAAAATTCTACTGTACTTTACAGCTCTACAATCTTAGGAATGTTGGTAATTTTTAAGAGCAGATGTTCTTCTTGGCATCTACTGTAATATTTAGCATAAACAAAAGTACTGGACACATTAAGATAACCAAATAATAGGCTTTCCTGTCTTTCTAGTCTATTTAAAGCTTAGAGGAAGGGGGTGGGAAAAATCTAACTAAAACTATTATTACATTCAAGGCTTATAAAAACAACAGAGCAAATTAAATTTGTTGTCCTTTAGGCTTAGATTTCCATCACAATCTTTATCTCACAGCATTAACAGAAATGACAATCCTCACTATTGTTTTTCTCTGCAGTGTTTCTTGTGGTCATTCCCAGTGTGCTCACTGAACATTCAAAAAGAAACTTGGGTGATCATTTTTTACTTGTCTGTTATTTTTTCTTAATGGAGGAAAAGGGAATACATTATTTCTTACCATATCAAAAATGAGATCCAGTGTTCATGCAACAAATGCAAACAGTATTGTCATATAGCTCCATCTCAATAAATTAAGTTATCTCTATTCTCATTATTTTAAAACAAATGTTTTTGGCAAACATGGAACTGAAAGGTGCTCAGTTTTTGTTTTTTTTAAAAAAAATATATATCTTTGTTTTAGGGACAGAAGACAAGAATATGACACAAGGACTCATAAAATTTATAATATTCATTCAGTAACTAGCTTCTGAAGTCCTATCATATGTCAAGCATTGTTCTAGGGACTGGAGAAAGCTTGACGAGAAGCACAGAATTGAAGTGTTCCAAGAGCTTTCCTGGACATTCAACTATTGTTGACCTTTGTCAAGTGTCTTATCCATTGGTTTTTACAAAAAGTCATCAACAAAATACATTATTGGTTGAGTAAGGTTATTACATATGAAAGAAAATCCTTTGGTCTTCAAGTAGAAAAAAAAAAATCCTTTCAAAGGTTAAAGTATCTGATGCAAGCTGAATAATGAAATGTGGCACACTAGCTTGATCAAAACACTAATTGCCAACTTTGATGCTCCTCCTCTGTTGAATACCCCTTAGGAATGCCTGAGGAAGCATCAAAGAAAAGAAATGTGAGGAAATCCACTTTTTCATCTCTCAGTAAGTTAAAAAAGAAAGCATAGTTAGATATTCCATAAATGTCCTCATACAGATCAATTCACATAAGCCCAAAAATTAAGATATCAAGAAAATCTTTTTCATGTTGTGTTGGGGGTACAGGAACATCCTCACTTTTTTTTTCAGCAAGCTTTAGTCTGGTAAGATTAATGTGCACTTAACAGCTAGAGATTTCCTAACAGAGTCTAAATTTCTCATTTCAGGTATCTAGTATTTTCTAAAGCAAGGGCCATATATTTGAACCTCAATATGAAAATATACTGCTGGTGGGAACCCACTTTAGGAAACAGTTCCTCAGTATTTTAAAAGCTCAAATATTTAAATATTTTAAAAGCTCACCTGCCACATGACCTAGTCCTTCCTTTCCGAGGTGTTCACCCAAGAGAAATGAAAGTACACAGGTTTATGCATGATGTTCAGAGCAACTTCATGTACAATAACCAGAAACTGGAAACAAGTCAAACCTCCCTCAATAGGTAATGGGTAACAAATTTCAGCGTATTAAATAACGGACTAAATCTCAAGGATCAAAAGAATCTAAAGAATAGACTGTTGATACACATGCAATATGGATGCATCCCAAAATAACTGCAGAGGGAAAGATGCCAAGCAATGAGAGCACATATTATATGATTCAATTTATATAAAATTCTAAAAGCAAAACAGTTATCTATAATGAAAAAAAAAGCACATCAGTGGTTGCCTGAAGATGAAGGTAAAGGCAAAGAGATTGGGGA